ACAGAAGAAATAAAAGAAAAAGTGATTCTAGAGAAAAATAATTTACAAAAAAAGCAATTTGAATGAAACGAGAAAATTGTGTCTCTCCATCAGAGAAAGATTAAATTGCTCGTTCAATTTTCGTATAGTAATTTTTCTATTCGCTAGGATCAATCTTTTTTTCAAAACATTCTTTGCCCATTCCTCGCAATTGCCAATTTAATTTTGTACGAAGAAAGCTCTATACCCAATCCGGTGCAAAATTGCTTACAACTTAATAAATAAGCTTCGATTCGAAATTTTTGCGCGTCAATTTTTCTGCTTGTTTTAGTGTTTCCCCATCACCCAATAAATTTTTCCATCTACTCCTCGTGCACCGATCTGTGTATACCTTTCATTTTCTCTCTAGGTTTCACCGTGATGTTTATGGCCGATCTTTCTCCCGTACGTATATATATATATATATATCCGGAATGGAATAGGCGAGGAGCGGATCGATCGTTGACAGATTGATCGAGACGACGAAGGAGGCCGTCAGGATCGCCGGTTAATTGCACGGAAGCGTTGCGTCGACGGACGCGTGATTGGCAAGCCTGTCCCGCCTAACCTATACACCTCACCGGTCTTTGACTGTTATCTCACGTACAGGCCCTTCCTCGTTTCACGGTTAGGTGTGTTCCAGGGATAGGCGAGCGCACGGTTTTAATGAACAAAGCTTTTTTTTTTTTTTTTTACTTTCTTCTTCTTTTTTTTTTTCATCCCTCCCTCCTGTTAACGCAATTTCTCGCTTTATAGCTATCCGGTTGGAACGGTTGGCAAGATTGACTTTGTTGATCTCGTAGGAGGTTACCGTACATTTTTTTTCAATTGATAATTTTGAAAGATGGACCAGTTCAGTTTGGCTGGAGGGGAATGATCGACTTTTAAATTTAAAATGATATTTTAAATTTCAGTGAAAAAGATTAGGGAGATCTCCATATAAAATATCGTCATTCTTTTATTCAGACGAACATCTCAGCCTTTAATAATGAAAAATAGAATTAGTGAAACGCAATATTTATGATCACGATTGTTGGTTAATTATTCACTGTACACGAAAACTGTTGTACAAAGAATATCTGTGGTATTACTTATTCCACATATCGATTCTCTTTCGTTCTTTCATCTATGCTTTCGCAAGGAATATCTTCCGATAAAAATCTCACTTCCTATCGTGTATTGCAGATGATCCAGAAAAATTCCAATTCCCCCAACACCTTTCCAATCTCTATTAACGTCATCTTAAATTCACGTTTACTCCAAAAAAAGAAAAAAAGAAGAAAAAAGAAAAGAAAGAAGCGAAACCAGGCCGCCTCTTCTTTCGACGCCTCGTCTGCCTCGTTTACGTAGCCCGAGCACGCAATAAAGGCGATGAAAAACGGCGAAACCATCACGTTTAACATCGTGTCCGGCTTGTTTATCATCCCACGCGAACAAAATTAATTCGGGCCAGGTTCGATTCGCGATCGGGCACAAAGGGGGTTAACTCGTCTCTTCATCGGCCTATAACAATTAACCACCGAGATTGGTTAAACGTAATCTATCTCCCCATAAATCGAGCCTCGTTTCGCTGTCACGAGCAACCGTTTAACCGGCGGGGACAATCGATAATGATCTGACCATGCATTAACCCCCCAGGTGCCAGGTCCCTCCACCCTCAATGAACTCTGGCTCATTGCGGAGCCAGAGGAGAGGAGGAAAAAGTAATGGAGAGGAGGGCGACCACGATGAATTATTTAAGAACAACGGGATCGTTTGTCATCGCCTGTCATCGCGCGGCTAGAACGAGGGCAAGTGTGCGACACACGATGCATATATCGTACGATGCAACATCCGAACGAATTCTTGCAAACGAATATTCTCTAATAATGGATTTGAGGAGATATATGATATTAAATATTAAATTAATTAAATTTCTTGGCGAGGATTCGAATCCTCCTTGTTGACTTTTAAATTCGCGTTTAAAGATGAAAATAATAATAATCTTCGATCAAACTTGATATTCGATATAAATAATAACTCAAGTATATTTTATAATACGAACTTTCATAAATGGAATTTTGATGGAGAAAGGATCATTAGAGGAAATAGAGGAATAAATTAAAACGTGATTCGAAAAAAATTCACACCGCGTAAACGCAGTCAAGTATAATCGAGAAAAATAAAATTTTGAAAAGGAAACACGTATATACACGTAACACGTTATTATAAAGAGCATTTTAACCAGATCCTTCGGATGTTATGCAAAACATTCCGTGGCTGCGAGGCATCCGAGGACGCCCCCGTTCAAACTTTTCTCACGGAAGCGGAGGAGAGCCTCGATCCTCGATCAGTCAACTGAGGCACCGCCGCCCATCCCAACATGTGTAAAGACTCGGCCGAGATTATTCTGTCCCGCGTAATTGGTGGTCGAGAGCGATGCCTCGTCGCTTTGGCTGGCAGGTTGACTCGATCTCATGGAGGCCACGGGGTTGCCTCGATATCGAACGCAGACATGGACGGATACACGGTAATTAATGACGATCACCGGTGGTCCGTCGTGTAATTAAAATAAATTAATAACGAGCGTGAAACAGGGCGTGAAAAGCGGCGGTTGAGATTGTCGTAACGGTTAAGAGAGTCAGTAGGGGCTAAGCAGGAGGAAGGAAAAGCTCGAAAGCTCAGGGATTCAAAGACGCGGATACATCGAGTCGAATCGAGAATCCTTGGACTCCGTCGAGGGAGAGTCTTCCTCGCCTCCCTTCACCCATCCCTCCTTAACGCGCCACTCCTCCACTACAAGGCGATGCGATTTAATTAAAGGCACCTCCAACTCCCTCCTCCCTTTCCTTCCTTTCTTCCACCCCCTTCCATCCTCCCCACGATTCGTGGCTTTTCTTCTCGCCCGGTTAACGAACCTAATTTTTAGTCGGATTTTAGATTACGTCCCGGGGATTCGTTCGATCCGCCATAATTCCTGGGGAGGGGGAGAGGTCCCCCTCTCGAAACCAACACGGGGATACAAGAGTTAGGCAGGGGAGGGAGTGGTCCCGGGGCTCGTTCGTTAACTCTCCACGACCACGTTCGACTAACTGAATTTTATATAATCGTGGCCGATGTTATTAAATTTGTAGTGCGGAAAGGGGATGGGGGAGAAGGAGAAGCTTCCGTAGGAGAAGAGGAAAGAGAGAGAGAGAGGAGGGAGGAAAGGTCGTGGAAGACGTGGGACCCGAGTCCGTTTTAAATTGCATAAGGGTCAATGCGCGATTAGGGATCGGGGTATTGGTATTCATTTACGTTCGTTAGCCTTCCCTCCGGGTAATGAAGGTAAGTGAATTTCGTAATGGCGGCCTGTCCGCGATCGCATTAAGTCCCTCTCGATGCGCTACGTAACGCGTGTAATGTAAAAAAAGGGAAAAAAGCGCGTTAAAAGATATCGAGGTTAATTTGAAATTACAGTCATCGATTCGGGATCGAGATCAAGAATTAGCGCTCTCAGATCACCTCGCCTCCATTTTTCAATTCAACCGAATTCTCGCAATCGGTGTCCATCGAAACAAATTCTGTCAAAATTGTTGATCATTTTGGGGATAATCGTTTTACAATTTCGTAAACTTTTTCTTTCCTTCTTTAATCTGGTTTGAAGTCGAGCAACAATGGAGTTTTAGAGAGTTTTAGATGTGAATTTTCTTAAAGTTTTATCGAATAGGTCGCACGATATGTTTCTTTGAGTTTCGTGTTAAAATAAAAAGCGAGATAGATCCGGTTTGATTTGGGAGGAAATTCTATGATATGACGAAGGCGGAATACGTAGGTGGAGGAAAATTTTAAAGCGCGAGTTAATCGGATGAGACGAAAGTCGGTTGATTCAGCGTGGTTAATTTTAAATTACAGAGTTCGTTGGATAATTACACGAGGAGCGAAGGTTCGTTACGATGATGCACGAATTTTCATCAATTCCATGTCGAATGTGAAACGAGGGAACGCGGTTCGGTAATAAAGGAATGTCAATACGAACGATATCCGGCAATTATCACGGCCATCGCGAATACAAAATATCGTTTCACGCCGCGGCGAAATTGCTTTATGCACTTCATTAATGTAATTACCAATCGGCCGGTGATTATATTTAATCGATTCAATTGGATTTCGCACGGCTGCCGTGTTAGAGCTCGTTCGTATTTCTGCGGGATGACAGTTCAATTTACTGAATTTTGATGGTTAAATCGATTGGTAAAATTTGTTTATCGAAAAATATATAAAGATGGGAATAGGAAGGAATAGGGGAAATTTGATTCGGTTACGCGCAATTCTTTCCAATTATCGAGTATAAATTTTATAACCATTTTTTTCCATCGAGTCTGACGATATCGTTGTATCTTGCGTATCGAAAGAGCAACAGTCTA